ATTAAAAAACAAAGAACACTATAGAACACTATATGCTTTTTAAAATGTTCTTGCTTTTTTCTTTCTATTAGAAATAGGAAATAAACTAAATAGACCATCAAAATTTCTTTGAAAAAGTTATTGGGAAAGTATCTGTATCAGAAGACTAAACTACAATGAAAAGTAGTTTGTTTTTTTGTTTGTTTGTTTTTGTTTGTTTGTTTAGTGCTATTAAGTTTATATGAAAATTCATGCCAGGAAGCTGCCTAGGCAGGTCTTAAGACATCTAGCTTTTGCGGGCCTTTGTTATTTCAACTCTCATGATGTGAGAATCAGCAAACACGCTGCCATGCCGTGGAAACTATCCTTTTTGACTTTTTTATGTATATTGGTGTTTTGCCTTCGTGCAAATCTGTGTGAGGGGTCAACTCCCCTGGAACCAGAGTCAGTCAGCTGTGAGCTGCTATGTGGGTGCTGGAAATTGAACTCGGGTCCTCTGGGAGAACTGCCAGTACTCTTTAACCCCTGAGCCATCTCCCCAGGCCCTGATTTTTAACTTATTATCTTAAGAATTGATTATATGCCTGTTTGCTTCTGCTGAAATATTATTGCTCAGCTCACAGTAAAAATAATGGATTACATCATTGGTGCATGAAGCTTCTCCTAATCACATGGTTGATTTCAAATTTTAATTGTTGAAGAAAAAGCAATGAGAAAAACTATGTACAAGAAATTGTGATACCAAGTTCCAGATTACCATCAGTTAATTAATGAGTTGTCTCCCAATTCATAGCATATGAATTACATATAATCTTTTTTTTGTCTTTTAATTTAATAATCTCTTTTTTTATGTGCATCGGTGCTCTGCCCGCATGTGTGTCTGTGTGAGCTGCCATGTGGGTGCTAGGTGCCTGTATAGGCACCCATGTCCTCTACAAAAGCAGTCAGTACCCCAAGAATCCAGCTTTCTTACTGTCAATATATGTTCATACTTCTTTTTTGTCCTGGGAATAATGTACAAAGGAAAATACTACTGATTCATGAGTAAAGAGTACATAAAACTGGATATTGTCTAAGCTTTTGTACACTTCCCTCTCTGTTCAGTTGATAGCAGCTACTCATGATTACAATGTCCTAAAGAAACTAAAATTAAGAGGTGCTGACATCTTACATTACATATTTTTTTAAGTCCTAGGAAGCAAGCTAGAAAGCTCCTGACTCTAGAAAGTCCCTATAGAGAAGAGGTTTCTCTTATACATGCATCAAAACATGACAGATTCCAATCAGATTTATTCCTCAAATGTATTAACTTATCCTAAAATAATTTGTCAACAATTATAAAACCATAAGCAATAAAATACTCTTGTGTAGCCCTGACTATCCTGGAACTCACCTGTAGACTAGGCTAGCCTCAAACTCAGAGACCCACCTGCCTCTGCTTCCTCAGTGCTGGGATTAAAGGTTTGTTTGGTGTCTTGTTGTTGTTGTTGTTGTTGTTTGATTTGTGGCCAGGTGTTGAACTCAGCTTCAGGCATAGTAGGCAAACTAGGCTATCACTGAGCTATACCCCCAACTCTAAAACTGATATTTAATTATCTTCCTCAGTATCTCACCATCAGGAATCCCATGCTAAGGCCCTGAGTTCATTCAGCTCATGACCTTGAAATCTACAAAACATGGAAAGATAAGCCTTCATCAAGCTCTTATTAGTTGAGATATCCATGAAACTCCATCATCAACTAAGTACTTTTAATAAAAAATTGGTTAGATTTTAGTAACCAGGGCATGAGAAGGTTGGCCCATTTGGTTCCAAACTCTAACACCACTAGTGCCACCACCAAAAGCCTCTCAGGAATACTTTATCCCAGCATGGTATCCCATGTCTTTAATCTCAGCACTGGGGAGGAAGAGGCGAATCTGTGAGTTTAAGGACACTCTACCCTACATAGAGAATTTTAGAACAGACAGGAATATATAGAGAGGCCCTGTCTTTAAATATATATTTTTTGCTTTCTTAGCAACCCTACACAAAAACACCACATAAGCATTCTTCATAACCAGAATAACCCTCCATCATTGGGTCCACTCTGTCACACTTCTTTATTATTTTATGTGTATAAGTATTTTACCCACATGTATATCTGTGTACCATGTGCATGACTAGTGTCCACAGAAGTCAGAAGATTGCATCAGACTGCCAAGAACTAGCTTTACAAAGAGTTGTGAGCTGTCCTGTGGGTGCTGGGATCAAACTCAGATTGTCTACAAAAGCAGAAAGTGTTCTCCACTGCTGAGCCATCTCTCCAATTTCAAAACACCTTACCTCCCATTTTTTCCCCTATACATTCCTGCTGGTTATCATGTTGTAGATATAAAATGGTCCCAAAGGCTGATGTATTGAAGGCTTGGTAGTCCTGGTAGTGCTATTGAAGGGACTGGATCATATATACGGTAAAGGCCCTCCTTGATAGATGGATAAATTAGAGATGATCAGTTATATGGCAGGTCTGACTGGAGAGAGCATGTCAATGAGGCTGTGTCTTTGAAAGGCATATCTTACTTATAACCAGTATTACTAATATACCCCATTCCACTCATTTGTTCTCCTACTCTAATTTTCAAAGTTTAGCTCACCTCACCTCTACAAAAAAACACTTACAGAGAGGACTAAAAAGGAAGAGTGAGTAGTACGCCACAGACTTAGAAGTAGCACACGTAAAACCAGCCTCTTCAGTCACTTTTAGAAGCCAGGACACTCAGGAAAACTTGACCAAGATACTTTCTTTGAAATTATTGAAGTGTGCAAATATACCCTAAAAAGTTGCAAAAAGATTTAACAATTCAGAAGTGATGGCACATGCTTTTAATCTTAACTCTTGGAGGTAGAGAAAAGAGGATGAGACATTCAAGACATCCATGACTACAGAGTGAACTGAAAGCAAACCTAGACTACATGAGACCCTTACTTTAAAAGAAAATTTTGTTTGTGTTCAAACAAAAATATTTGTAATATTTAAGTCAATACTCAAATAGCATCAACAAACACTGAAGTAGGAGATATAAAATGATTCAATGACTTAAATTAAACAATATAGAAGAAGAGTTAAACAGAAGCAAATTATCAAACTAAGGAAAAACAAAATTATATATAAGTATTTAACACAATAAACTAGACTTTTGAAAAACTTGTCAATTTTTGAAAAATATAAACCAACCCTTCTTGTCATCATTAACAGGCTGCCCAAGGGCGGGGGAGTAGGGCTGAGGCCCACTGGTAGAGCACTTACCCAGCATGTGTAAGGCCCTGGGTCCAGTGAGCTGGTAAGGACCAAAAGGGGAAATATGGAGAGAGAAGCACCATCATGCTTCCTCTCGCATCTAAATAAAAGGGTTTCCCACTCAAGAAAAGCAAAGACTTAAAAAAGTTCCTTTGCTAGGTTTTCTGGCCCCTTCTATCAAAATAAATGCACTCTCTAAAAGCAATCTAGTGGAATGTACTAAACTAACTGACTCACACAAAACAATGCAGTTACTTCCTACCTGAAATTTCATCCAATAGCAACACACTCACAGAAGCATTTCAGTGTCACATTCTCCCTAGGTTTGGATTACATGAATTCACTTTCTGTAAGTTAATAGTTTGACCAGTTATCTTTTTATAGTATTAGGAGTAGCAAACTTAAAAAGCAAAAACTGTCATTGTAAAAAAGATGTGTCAATAAATCAGTTTGGTTATCAAGTCTGATTTTCTTATTGTAAACTAACGTTTCAAAAGAAGCAAAGTATATAAAATCAATACTGTTCTAGTAACTACAGGATGATGTGTTAAGACGGAAGATGGCTCAGTAGTTAAAGCACTTGCTATGCAAATAGGAAGTCAAGTGTTCAGATCCCCAGATCCCATGTAAACACTGGGTGGGTATGAGAGGGGATCCCTAAAGCAAACTAGCTAGAGACTCTAACCACATTGCAAAGCTCTGTGCTTCATACAGAAACTCTACCTCAAAGGATAAGGTGGCGGCCGGGCGGGCAATCCAACTGGATTCTGGACATCAGCCGTGGGACCCACAAATGCAAATATGCATACACATACACAAAAAGAGGGAAGGCACACACACATGAAAAATGGGCAGGCAAGATTGTCATACCAGCTGGTGACCTGAGCATGATTCCCAGAAAGGAGAGAATCAACATCACAAAGTTGTCCTCTGACCTCAACAAACATGCCATGGTACATGCATGACCATCATCACAAATCATGCACACACAGACACAAACACAAAATAATAATGAAATGTTTAAGCACTTATAAATAAAAATATTTCTTAATTTTCTTTAAAAAAACAAAAAAATAGTACTAAATGTTGGATATAATGGCACACACCTTTACTCCTGGCACTTGGGAGGCAGAAGCCGATAATCTCTGTGAGTTCATGACTAACCTGGTCTACATAAATAGTTCTAGGACAGCTAGAGCTACATATTGAGACCCTGTTTCAAAAAAAGAAAAGAAACAGAAAAAAAGTGTGTGTGAAGGGGGGGCTGTAAAATGAAATTGGGCTAAAGGTATACAGCACAATAGTTGACCATTTGCCTTTATGTGCCAGGCCCTGAGTTGCAACCAATACCACCCAAGTAAAAATAAACTCTTAAAAAGAAAGGGAAGGAAGGGGGGAGAGGGAGGGAGGGAGGGAGGGAGGGAGGGAGGGAGGGAGGGAGGGAGGGAGGAACAGAGAAGAGCAAACACCTATCCTACTTATGCCTTCACTGGAAGCTTTCTTACTGGCTAGCACGACTCACTTTACAATGCCAAACTTACTGCCGAAAAGAAACTGGTGAAAGAAACCATACCCTGGATGACATAATAGTCATTTAGTTCATAATCTGAAATATTAACTCTATGTAAAACTAGTCTGAAAACTAGTAGGACACAAGAAAATTTTGTACACTGGTGAATGGTATTTCAAAAATGTAATTTTTTTAAGAGTAATGAATGGGCTTTCCACCATCTTGGTGCCTGTGGAGGCCTGCTGGAAACAGGACTTCTAAAAGGCAAATATGTCTGAAAGGCTGTGGTGCAAGGCCATTTTTGCTGGCTATAAGCGAGGTCTCCAGAACCAGAGAAAGCACACAGTTCTTCTTAAAATTGAAAGTGTTTATACCCGAGATGAAACTGAATTTTACTTGGGCAAAAGATGTGCTTATGTGTATAAAACAAAAAGCAACACAGTGACACCCGGAGGCGGAGGCAAACCAAACAAAACTACAGTAATCTGGGGAAAAGTACCTTGGGCCCATGGAAACAGTGGCATGGCTCATGCCAAATTCCAAAGCAACCTTCCTGAAAAGGCCATTGGACACAGAATCCGTGTGATGCTGTACCCTTCCAGGATTTAAACTACTAAATAAACAAATAAAAGTGAAGAAAAAAAAAAAGAGTAGTAGCACACGCCTTTAATCCCAGCACTCTGGAGGCAGAGGCAGGAAGATCTCTGTGAGTTCAAGCCTAGCTACAAAACTACACAGAAAATAAAATAAAAATAAAAAATAAAAATAAAAGACTAATGAATGGGGACTGAAAAGCCACCTCAGTGGTTAAAAGCATTTTCTCTTCCAGAAGATTCAGTTCCCAGCACCCACACGCAATTTAAAAACCATCTGTAACTCCAATTCCACAGGATCTGATGCCTTCTGACCTGCCTGGGCTCCAGCTACACATGTGGTATACATACATGCAGGCAAAAATACTCATGCAAATGAAATAAAATCCTTTTTTTAAAGAGTGATTAATGGCATTGTGGTTTAATTGTTTTGCTTTGTTTGGAAAAGTCTTTATCCTTTAGAGGCACACATGAAACATTCACAAATGAAATAGGAATAGATGGAAAACACGTTACTATTTGATATGGTTATACATGATAATAAGATATTTGAACAATATAAATGAATAAGCACAAAAGCTATGTCTTACCATTTTTAAGTGAACATAAAACAAAATGTAAAATAGTACCATGATGCTAATGAGGTCACTAAAGAGAACACTAACTGCAAAACACTGTACACACAGAAATGTGACAGCTTCGATCAATCTTTAATGGCACTAAATTAAAAATTAACCAGAATTACCTTTAACCATCAACAGTGAAGAAAACCATAAAAGAGCAAATATGAAAACTTATCACTGCATATCATCAACAAACTTAATCAAGCAGCTATTGAGCAAAAACTAATTAGGGATAATATTTATATTCTGTGAGCAAAATTAATAATAAGATATATGCAAAGCAAAAGGAAGGAATAGAGAGGACCAAAGGCATATACTTCCATTTTGTTGTTTTAAACAAACAAACTCTAGAGCTAGGGATATAGCTCAGTTGGTAAAGTGTTTGCCTAACACATATGAAGCCTGGATTCAATCCAGCAGCACATAAAAATCAGGCAAACCTCTAATCCCAGCATCAAGGAAGTAGCACACAGGATCAGAATTTGGAAGCCAACCTGGCCTACAGGCTACCTTATCAAAATACTAACAATAAATACAATAATAATAATGTGAGAAAATGGTAAGTATATATGCAGAAACCTTGCCCGAGCTTAGAGATACACTGACAATAGAAAATGAGAGGAAAGGGCTGGGGAGATAGCTCAGCTGGTAAAGTGCTCACTAAGTAGCACAAGGACCAAAGTGCAATCTCCAGCACCCTACATTGAAATCCCAGCACTAAGAAGGCAGAGACAGATCCCTGGAGCTTAATGCCCAGTCAGTCTAGCCTAATCAGAGAGTCTAGCCTCCAGTCCCAGGAAAAGACACTGCCCATTAAAAAAAAATTTAAGAAAGAAAGCCTGGAGAGTCTTAAGTACCATTGAACCTGAAATGAATAAGATTTTGTGAATTTTTGTTTTTCTTTTTTTATTTTTAGAGATGCTTGCTTTATTTTGTATGTATAAGAATTTTTCCTGTAAGTTTGTACCACATGTGTATGTGGCACTCTCGGAGGTCAGAAAAGGGAGTCAGATTCCCTGGAACTGGAGTTAAGGAAGATTATGAGCAACCATGTGCATGCTGCAAACTGAATCCAGGTCCTCTAAAAGAGCAATAAGTGCTCCTAACTGCTGAGCCAATTCTCCAGCCCCATATAATAAGGTTTTGAACTTCGAACTTTGTCCTAATGAAGAAATATAAAATTATGTATGTTTTTAAGCCTACAAATTATTAGTTATTTTGTTATGTAACACAAATTTATTTTAAGATTTGTTCCATTAATATATAACTGGGGGCTGGCAATAGTTGCAGAGCTGCAACTCCAGAAGTATACTGAGTTCAAGGACAACCTGGGTTACATAAGTAAGACCCCCATTGCAAGAAGAACTGAAATTTGCCAGTGTCTCTGACAGTGTGGATTATACCAGATTAAAAACCAACTCTCTTTAGATCAAACAACAAGCAGAACTGAGCTTGGCTCACTGAAAAAAAGAGAAACAAGCTAAGATCATCCAATTTTGCTCCTAGAGGCACTTTGCAAATGATTACTGGGGAGAAGAAACTACTCCAAAGCCTCGATGAGTTGAAGAGACACCCATCTGGTTTCAGAGCTGCTATTGGCTGAAACTCAAGAAGGCCCCATGGGTATTTGAGTAAATGCTAACCTGCAGAGGCATTAAGTGAGGCAACATTGCCAACAGCATAATTATTACTGTAATGTAACCTGAAAACTTCCCATACGGTAGAGAGAGCTGAAAGTCTGAATTGTGTCCACAAAAAATTAGAAGGTACCATATATTCTTAGAGGTCTTTACCTCATTTCCCACTACAAAATAACAAGTACTTATCCAGAGCTGGGTGGTGGTGTCACAAACCCTTAATCCCAGCATTAGGGAGGCAGAGGCAGATGGATCTCTGTGAGTTTGAGGCCAGCCTGGTGTACAAAGCTACACACAGAAACCCTGTCTCAAAAAAACAAAAACAAGTACTTAACTACAATCTGTAAATTGAAAAATTGAATACATTTTTCTCTCTCTAGTAGGAGGATGATATATACATACATATTTCAAATTTAGATTTAATAGATTAGGAAAAAAGCATAGCTCACAAACATGCGTAAATCACCTATAAGGCAGATTTCATGGGTTCTGGTAGAATTATTATTTTCCAGTTGTTCTTATAAATCCACGATTAAATACTACTCGGTTTTAAAAAAAAAAAAAAAAAAAAAAAAAAAAACAAGTCAAAATTTAACTATAATTCTTTAACAAAAATTAGCATTAGGAACTGTTGCTCTAAGCAAGTAGTGATGGCAGTGCATGTCTATAGTCACAGCATTCGGGAGGTAAAGGCAAGCGGATCTCTGAGTTCAAGGCCAGCCTGGTCTACAGAGCTGGTTCCGGAGAGCCAGGGCTATATAGAGAGAACCTGTCTAGAAAAAAGAAAAAGAAAAAAAGGAAACAAAAATTTTGTTTCAATGTTTTTCATATTTTTCAGGTATTAACATTTTTAATGACTATTTTCAGTCAAAAAATCATGTACGCATTTCCACAAATCACACAATCTGATTTTTCCTCGTTTACAGCTAAAAGGGTAACTTAAGAAGTTAAGGGACACACTAAATTTTAAGAATAAGAATACCTCAGTAGCTACTTCATGAAAATAAATTTTGACCTTTCTGTAACTTTTTTTTAAGGCAAATTATCTTTCAATTTTTAAATACTTTGCCATTATTATAACTAGTAAACCTTTCAATATTCAAAAGATGGTTATAGTCACTCATCTATCTATTGCTGTCTGTTATTTAAAATGACAAGTCTTTAATCTACTCACCCAAGTACAAGTGAACACACTTCCACAGGCTAGAGCAAAGCACACAAAGGAGTCTCCTTTACTAGCTCCTCCAGAGTTCCTCTAGAGCAGTGGTTCCCAACCTCCCTAAAGCTGAGACCCCTTAGTACAGTTCTTCATGTTGTGGTGACCCAAACCACAAAATTATTTTCATTGCTGCTTCATTACTGCAATATTGCTACTGTTATGAATCGCAATGTAAACATCTGTGTTTTCTGATGGTCTTAGGCAACCCTAAGTCATTCAATTTCCCTCCAGAAGGGGTCACTCCCCACAGGTAAAAAACTGCTATTCTGGACGTCACATAAGCTTTTCCACTTTTTTCATTTTTCAGATTAAAAGCATGCCCAAATTTTACTGGCCTTTCTTCTCCTCAGTATCTTGCCTATACATTTTCTAAAAAAAAAAAAAAAAAAAAAAAAAAAAAAATATGCAATTTCTCACCATCTCAAAAATTACAAGTAACTTCTAGGTGACACAAATTCATCCATTAGTCATATCATTATCCATTACACAGTGAAGTACTTAGTTTCCCAATTTATCCTACATCCTACAACTATTTTATTTTCTATTATCATTAGACCAATTTAAAGTACTTAGGGGAGAGGTATTTAAATGTTTGTCACTCATGAGATATTATTTTGCCTCAGCTGGCCCTGAATTCCTGGGCTCAAATAATCTTTGTCTCTCATACTCTGAAGACTATAGGTGTATGACAACATGTGTTAGAAGCAGGGTCATGATCCTTCCAGACTATTATTTCAAGTAAACCAATGAAAGGAAAGCTAGACAACCAAGTTTAAAAATTAAATGTCAAGGAGATGGAGATGTAGCTCAGTAACAGAACACGTATTTGCATACACAAGGACTGTGCTAGCTAGTGCTTTGTCAACTTGACACAAGCTATAGTCATAAATGTGATTTCTACCACACAAACAAAAAAAAGTGGGGGAGAGATTTCCTGGAGACACAGAACTAGGGAGCAAACAGCCTATAGAGCAACTTGCCTAAGTTTTATTGTGACTACTGTGATACTTATCTTAGGCATGATTCTCCATCTGTGAGGAAGACACTGCAGTGGTCGGAAACACAAAGAGATACAAACAGAAGAGCAGGCCCAGAGCCTGACTGACAAAACAAAGCCGCATTTCAACAAGGAAAGATACCTGCAGCTCCATTCTCTGCTCCTCCTCCTGCCTCCCTCCAGTCTCCCAGCTCTTCCTTGCCCTGGCATGATCCCTGTACCCCACATAGGAGGCCCTCCTATGATGCTGATGATGGGCCCCCATCCTCCCAGGACCTGCTCCCATGGGTGGCCAAATGTCCACGATGCCTGGGCCTCCAATGATAAGACTCCCTGCTCGCTCTATGAGGGTGCCCACTCAACCTGGCATGACTCACCAGACGATAAGAGCAGAAAGGCTCTTTATCAGTTTTGTATTTCTTGTTTTGTTTCACCAGAAGATCACAGTGCTGAGCCTGAGTGTTTTCTAGCTGCATGACAAAGAAGACTTCCCCCTTCCTAACAGAGAATAGTTTTGGAGGTGAGAAGTAGGATTAAAAAAAA